TATTATATATATATATACTATGTATATTATAAATATATGTATATGTACTATAATATATATACATATATTTGAAATATTAGAAATTTCTTCCTTTTTGCACGGTGTCGTGTATCCTTTTCCTCCTCCTCCTCCTCCCCTCGATGAAACAACACCCTCCCCCCATGCCCCATAAAAATCGACGTCACAATTGGATGGAATTTAAAACTTTCCGAATTTATTTATAAAAACAAAGCAATTAAACTTTCGACATCGTATGTTTTACAATTGGGTGGTAGTTTGTTTCGATTCTGAAATTCGACGCAGAACATTTTCCCTTTTCCATTAAAAATAATTATAATCATTGAACGTAGTTGAACGCTGATTGGTATACTTAAAAATCAATCTATAATATCATCAAATTTTACACTCTCGAATTAACAAACCTCTCACATTAATATAAAATTTATCCAGAAAATATTTCAAATTTAATAATAATAATAATAATAACAATAACAATAACACAAAAATATATAATTAATTATTGCAAATTAGAAAAAAAGTATCGAATATAAATAACCAATCGTATTAACTTACGATTGAATATTTTTCCCCTTTTCAAAGTGATACAATAAATTACAAATATTTGTCGTAAGGGAAAAGGGTTAATGCGATAACAAATAAATAAAATAATAAATATTTTTCATGGTGTATATTATTCGAAATTATAAGGAAACGTTCGTTCCTTAACGAAATTCTTCGAATGGGAAGAAAGGAAAAATGTTTTTAAAGGAAAATTGAGACGTCGGACAAAATTAATTTACGTTTCCATCTCGCGATTAGCCCGTTCATCCCCCATCCCACCCTCAACCCCCGCGTGTTCCCTGTTTTCCACTTTCGTTGCCCCACTCCAACCCACCCCCAAGTCCTCCCATTTTCAACAGCATACCTTGTTAACTCTAAGTAGAAACTAGCGACTTGTAAATTCATTAATTGACCGGGTCTTTCAAGGTACGCTAACTAACTTTCAAAGTAAAACTTTTTAATAATTATTCGCGAATTTTGTCCGATGATGATGATGATGATGATGATGATGATGATGATGATGATGATGATAATAAATAATAAATTCGATCGATTTTATTTCTAAGATGAAATAGAACGATGATGATGATGATGATGATGATTATGATGATGACGATAATGAACGATGACGGCGATGATGATGATGATGATGATGATGATGATGATGATGAATGATATTAATAATAACAATGACGATAGAAAAAGAAAAAGAAAAGAAAAAGAAAACAAAAAAAAAAGAAAAAGAAAATACTGCGCGATGATAAAAAGTTCCGTTAGATCTTGAAACGGCCCCCATAAGAATTTCTCTTTGTAGATAAAATAAACTATAGTGAAGAAAAAATTCCTTGTATAATCGGACCCTATAAATATGAACATAATACTGACATTGCATACGACATAAGACGTATGGGACGGAGTATGTTACGTTAAGATTATTTAACGCGAAATTTAAACGGATATTTAAAATATATCGATGAACAATAATAAAAGAAATAAAAAAAAAAAAAGCATTGCAGCATTGTCATGAGATATTATTATTATTATTATTATTATTATTATCATGATATTATTATTATTATTATTATTATTATTATTATTATTATTCTATTCTTGATTATTATTCTTGATTATTATTATTATTATGATGATGAAAACTATTATTATTATATTATTAGTTACGCCTGTAAATACAATTCACGCGAAAATATATCGACAGATTATTATGACATTAAATAACGAGTCATTTATATCTATACCTATCTCTATAATTTAATCTGATTCTAAACTATTCTCTAATCCCCCACCCCCTGCCCCAAATTCGATTCCTTCAACACTAACACACATTTAAAAAAATAATATAATCATTTTAATTTGCAGCTACGAAATGGCATACGATGAAACGTTGTATTACAAGGGGTATACCAACAATATTAATAATTATTTAAAAAAGAAATACATATAATATATAATTATTTAATAAAAATATATATATATATATATATATATAAATAAAAAGGTATAGACGAAAAAATGGTTACCATTTGTCACATTGTTTCAAATTAATTGTAAAAAAAAAATAGAAAAATAATTTATACACCTGAAAAATAAAGATGATAGAGAAGATTATTAATAAAACAACGATTTTATATTATTAACGATAAAAATAATAGAAAAAGAAAATTAAAGAAAGTAAGTAAGAAAAAAAGAAATGGAAAGATAGGAAAAAAAAAAAAAGAAAAAAAGATTGAAGACGAGTAAAGTTGCGCGATAACGTTGCGTGGGCGGGTATCGCTGACAAAATGGACCAATCGTGTGGCTTCCTCAGCTGTAACCGATCCCGTAGGTTACACCAGGAACTAGGAACATCGACCAAGGTTCTCCCAAAAAGCCGATATGCTCAGAGCGCACGCCTAACCAGTGCGTCGTCCTGGGTTTTCGACTCCACCCTATACGATGCCTTCACATGACCCACCACCACCACCATAACTACTTCCTTTCTATGTATATATACTTTATTCTTTTTATCTATCTCTTTTTCTTCGTATCCTCATCCCTCCAACCCCTCACCCTATCACACCCTTCTTTCTTCCCTTCCCCTCCCTTTATTTCTCTTTCTTTTCTTTATTTCTTTCTTTCTTTCTCTCGCAGAAAGTGCTTAACAGCTGAGTGGATTCTTCTTCTTCGAAAAGAAGAAGAAGAAGAAGAAGATGGAGTCGTGTTATAACAGAAGACATTTTGTTCAATGTTTTATCATTTTTTTTTTTTCGACATATTCCCATCTATATACTTCAAATACTTCGTTTTTTTTCAGAAACTTAAATGTTTCAATTTAATATATATATTTATCTTTCGTAATTATTTTATTTTTCTTAATATAACTAAAATCTATCCCCCATTAAACAGTATATCCTGTGTATATTAGGGTGAATCCAAAGTTTTTACAGTTTATTTTCTTTTTTTTTAATTAATATTTCATTTACATAATAAAATAATTTTATCGGAAACGACACAACAAATTTACGCGAACTTTTGATTGATCATTCTAACAAAATTCCACAGAGATATATAAATATTTAATTCGCGTAAGTGTGCAATTATACTACTACACGCATATACACGATATATCAATTATAAATAACGTGAAATTAAATCCAACAATTTATTTAACATTATATTATTATGAAATATATATCGTATGATCAATAATTATTGCAATTTATTCGTTCGATCTAACCATCGTAATTACTCGTAACATAATCTCGCGATACCTTCAAAAAAAGAAAATAGAAAAAACAACATTGACAACATACAAAACAAATTATTACGTGTCAAACGTGCATTTGTGTATGCATGCCTAACACCACACACACACACACACACACACATTTATTCAAATAAAAATATACCAGCGAAACGATTAACCAACTATTACACCGGAAATAAGAATATTATTATTGCAACTCGTGTTTCCCCCCCAGCCCCCACCCCCCACGCCCCATTATCTTTCCTCTTAATTTTAAACGATAACAATCAGATATAATGATTTACTAGCAACAAATGCGAATTATTAACGACACCGTTATATAATAATAACGAACGTATGTGTTCACACACACATACACACACACAGAGTTAACAATACTAGTTTTCTCGAAGCATACTACTACTTACTATGCCT